ACACTGGGTTTGAGGTGTCAAAATTTTCATAGGCATACACAGAAATATTACAAAATGTCTTGGCAATGCAACAAAATGATAGAAAAGCAAGAAGAACCATGTGAAGTGAGAGGGCTAATAGACAAATAATGAATAACAAGGATGCTTAGGAATTTTGATTGTAAATCAAACCATATCTAGAGATTATGCGTGGAAGCTTCTGCTTTAAGACAAGATTCACAGAAATCTACAACTGGAAAATCTATCTCCCAGCCAGCTCCTTCACAGGCATTGTTCCTTTAAAGAATTCAAGCATCACACACACACACACACACACACACACACACACATACATTTATATTATATATGATTTTATACAAAGTTTACTTGCTTCTGTTTGTATATATTAGATTTTACTTGTATCACAGCGATAAAAGTTTTTTATAGTAACAGTGAATATACATTTATATTTGTTAACTTTGAAGTATTAAGGAAGGTTCATCCTATTTTCCTGTTTTATTAGGCTGGAATATTATTGTTATACTCCATCATGTGGTTGAGGGAAAACTTAGGTGGGAGAAGAAAGGCTAACTTTGTCCTGTTTAGCTATGTTCCCATGTGTTTGTAATAGTAACTGTTTCCAGTCCATGGTTTCTTATAGGGCATGTATAAAGTGTTCGCCTATTTCATGAGGATCCCTGTATTTGAAACATAATCATATATTTTACAAATCTGCTTCAATATGTCTGGTGACCTACAGCACACTAATGTACATAAACTTGATTGGGCAGTGCTTCCACCTCATCTGCTTGGTGGAGTCCCTAGTACCTCCTCTACACAATGCTGCGTCAGAGGCAGAGTACCACCCAATACCAGGGATTAGTGCCAGACAATGTCCTAAAGATCAGTGATTTTCCTTTCCTTCTCTTGCCGAATTTTGAAAATTCTACATCTTTCTCTGCCCAAAGGGAAGATCAGTACCCATTTGGAAACCACCTGTGTTAACTTATGAAATGCTAGGCAGCTGATGATTTGTAATAATGATGTAAAATTGAAATGCATAAGTGTGATTAAGCCTTTGTACTTTTGAAAGACCAGACCCTAATATGTTTCTATGAGTTTGTGATAAGGGAAAATTTATTCAAAAGTTCACATCTTTATTTGTGAAATGTTCATGTTTTATTAATGTAAGCTATTTCATGTTGCTATTTAGAAAATAAAATTGTATCATGCATGCAAATTGCTGCCCATGGTGAACTGTTAATAAGTTAAAAACTCTAATATTGTTGCTATGAGAAGAAGATGAGAAAAGTAGCTAAATTTTCTTTCAAAATTATTCATGTTAGAGATGGAGAAACTAGATTTGGTTGAAATTGGGAAAGAAGCTTGAAGGCTAGACTAGAGTAAAAAGACTCAGCAATCTTCTAAATGATTTTATATGGTGGATTCAAAGTTATGCTCTGATATATTTTGAGGAAACATAACTTTAAAATTGATTACAGAAAAGAGAAAAAGGCAGAAAATTATCTGAAGAGAATAAACCATGCACAGAGAACTAACAATAAGTGATCCCTTTTTTCTGGGATTAGGGGAGACTGACTAGTCTGGGCAAAGCAAAGGCCACCTGGGAGAGCTTGTCCTTGTAAGTCATATGTATAACAGGGAGACAGATTGGCTTGCTGAAGAGAGGAGGAATTTGATGTCCCAGCTCTGATTAGAGATTTTTAGAATCATGATTAGGCTGTGAAAATTGTGACCTTTTTCCATGTTTCCCAGTAGTGATGTTTGTTTTACTGTTCTAAAAAGATAATTGTCAAGACAAACAATGCATATGAAGAAATTATTCACATTTGTATATTTCTAAAAATGTCTCACTGCTTAGTGTTTTGAACATTATCGAGTATTGGTTACGGACTGACAAGATTGCTCAGAGGGTCAAGGCAATTGCTGGCAAGTCTGATGGATCTGACTTTCTGACTTTTGATTTGATAGGACAGATATCATAGAAGGAAAGAACTGACTCCTCAAAGTTGCCTTGTGAACTTCTCACACATGCCATGGCCTGGGCTCTCCCATACAAATAGGTGCATTTAAATATAATAAAAATTGCAAGTTATAACTCCCTCAAAATGTAAAATAAAAGGCTTTAGAGAATATATTCACCTATTAACTAACTCCAACACTTCAATTTGTTTCATTTTCCTTACAATTTTTTCTCAAGTGACGTGTTCATTCTAAAAGAATTTTTTCTCCTAATATATGAATAATGGTGAGAGCGAACAAAATGGTTTAGTAGGGAAAGGCACTTGTCACCAAACAGTCTCCGAGACCTACCTGGTAAAAAGGTAAAAGCCCAACCCTGCAAGCTAGCCTCTGACTTTCACATGCTTCTCACGGCATGTGTGTCATACACACATGCACATGAACACAAAATAAATAAATGTGAACAGACTAACACACATTATTAGGAAAAAGCATGTCCAGAAAGGAAACACCAATTGTGAAGTTATTGGAATCATATCCCTAAACATCGTGAGTGGTGAGGTATCAAAGGAACTGTTAGAGAGAGCTGCTCAGTTTTTTTTTCTAAATAGTTCACTACAGAAATGGAGCTTAAAGGGGACCGTGGTTGCAGTAGAGTGTGTGGCCACCCTTCTGTAAAAAAATGCCCCCACTACTGAAGACCAGAATTGTTCCCCACAATTTGAAAAATATACCTAAAAAAGAGAACATGACAAGTACTTTAGACAAGTAGGTAGGAAGGAACAGCAAGTTTAACTATATTCTTTGTGGATAAAGATGGTTAGAAGTGATGAAATCCACAAGAGATCAGTCTTGATGGTGTTTAATTTTACATTCAGCTTCTGACACGGTAAACTGGATTTGCAATTGTGACGTCATACTCAGCAAAAGCAAACCTGTGCCATTTGACATGACACCAGTGGCTACTCATTAGGAGGGCCACTTTGGACTAGTTGCAATAGTGGAAGAAGAGCTAAGTTAATCAGATCGTTTCCTTGCATCTTACCATTTGGTATATTAAACTGTGTTATATGTCATGTCCTAGGAGAAAACATACGAATTCCTAGATAAAACTTCTTGCAATAAGACACCCAATAAAATGGAATAAGGACAGTGATTTCCCTGATACAATAGTTGCCAATGGGGATCAGGTTCCTTCTAATCCTTGATACTTTAGGTCTGCTATCACCTTAGGTGAACTCTACTCTTTAAGAAAGATGACTCTAAATAATTCTTCTGTGGCTCATGGCATCCATATATCTAAAACATAAATAAACCTCTTCCATGAGCTTCTATATATATTTTAGTTTTTAAAAATAGAGAAATAATACAAAGGATGAATGATACATTTAAGATATTCAGTCCCGAGGGATGGTCAGGTGCTTCAGTGGAAAAAATGCTTGCCATACAAACATGAGGTTCAATTTTTTACCTTTTTAGTACCATGTCTTTCTGTATCCTACCATGCTGTCCACAATGACAACAATGGACTAAATCTCTGAACTGTAAGCCAGCCCAATTAAATGCTACTTATAAGAGTTACTGTGGTCATATTGTCTCTTCATAGCAACAAAGTCGTAACTAAGACAGAGGAGATTCCCAGGAATTTCCATATTACTTAAAATCCCTATAAGCAAGTAAAAAGTCAGGGCAGGCAAAGTGGCCATCTCCCATCCCAGTACTTGCGAGGCAAATTCAAGGGTGTGTGGGGCAAGATGGCTAGTTAGGCTAAATGATCAGTGAGCTCTGGTTTCATGTGACAGAACCGGCATCAATAAATAAAGTGCAGGGCATTGAGCATGTCACCCTCTGTCAATTCCTGTCTTTCCCCAGACATGGGCACACATGCACGCACACACACCATCACATATAGGTGGGCATACCTTTGAGATCAAACATCAACACTCACACTCATTTATATACACATGCACAAAGTCGGTCCAAGCAACAACCTAAGCAGGCATAATTCCATGAAGCCTTTTGGGGAGTGCTCATATACTGTGATCCATTACATTATGATTTATTAATGTGTGTTTTCCTCTGAGAATTTTACAAGGAAAGAAAAATTGGACATTCTACATGTCAAATTTCTCTTTAGAGAGTCGTATCGCTTCCAAAGTAGTGAAGAACTCTTACATTAATTATAATGATGCAATTATTTTTCATTATGGTAAAGTATACACAACATGAAATGTATTTTAAAGCATATGGTTCAGTTACATTTAGTACATTCATCCTCTAGTTCCAGCTGTACAGCTTTTCAATCAAAATCTGACTAAATCTATTTCCCTCTGGGAAATGTATTTCACTTTTTAATTTGGTGTGTCTAAAGGAGAATATATTCATGGAAAAACTAATCAAATCTTCTCTTTTTTAAAAAATTAGAAAAATGTTGAGATTAAATGACTTTCTTAAAATCACATTGGTAGTTAAGACAGCATACATCTCAGTCGGGTTTTTTGGACAAATAACCTGAGGACGGGTTATTTGGTATTTCAAGAAACTTCCTTTGTTTTAATTTCCGTTCCTGTTCAGATTATTTAATAATCTAAAAAGTATATGTTGACATTTTTAATAGAAGAGTTTAAGATTCAAGTAAGCATCTTGGACTGAGGATATAGCGTAGTCAGTAAAATGTTTGCATAGCAAGCTTGAGGGCTGAGTTCTACCCTGAGATTCTAGGTAAGAGAGCTGGGCCTGGGGCCTAGAATCCAGATCTAAGGAAATGGAGATGGACCCTGATCCCCATCAGAGACCCTATTTGGTAAGCTCCAGGCCAAAAAATAGACCTTGTCTCAAAGGACAGTGATACAGAAGTGATCGTTTGGCTTCCACACACATGTGCATGCCCTTCGGTCTACCCATGTCCATACACATATGCATAAAATACGCACCTAATATTTAAATGTTATACTATGCTTGACTTATGACTTTATTATCATGATTTTCTTATGACAACTTTCCTTGTAATAACTCTAATCACATGATTCTCTTCTTAGGTCTATTTAAGGTCATGGCGGATAAAACTCCGTACCTTACAGTGGAAGAAATCACAAGAACCATTCATATTGGACCTAGTAGACGAGGACATCCTTGCTTTTATCACCTGAAGGATATAAAAGTAGAGAATCTTACCATAAAGCAGGGTGAGCCAATAAGGCTCAACTCAATTGAAGAGATTGACGGAGAAGTACTGGTGAATTGCGGTGTGGTAAGGAATCACCAGAGTCATTCCTTCACTTTGCCATTATCACAAGAAGGAGAGTTCTATGAGTGTGAGGATGAGCATATTTATACCCTAAAAGAAATTGTTGAATGGAAGATTCCTAAGAACAGAACACGGACTGTGAAACTTACAAATTTCTCAAATAAGTGGGACTCGCCCAATCCATTCCCTGAAGACTTTCATGGAACTGTGATTCTCAAGCCTGTTTATGAAATCCAAGGTGTGCTGAAATGTAAGTATACACTAAGAATGACATTCTGGGTGAGTGAGCATGGTGGGAGTTTGAGTAGAACCCCACAATGGAATTAGAAACTTAAGAATGAGTTTCCCTGTCATTCATTAAGTCTCTTAGATTCTGCATCTGTACTTAAGAAAGCCATAGATAGATCTGTCTTTAGGAGTTAATTAAATAGTGAGTATGAAGGTTGTATTATAAATTGTATAATGCTATCCAAGCACAGGATACTGTAACTATCAGCTATAGGTAGACTAAAATGTTTGTTCTTTTTATTGGTTATTAGGAGTTAATTCTTAAAATGAGCATCCAAAAGCAGTTTTCTTGTTTTTTTAAACCATGACTATTTTTTTTTAATCCTTGTCTGTTATGACTGGTCACAATTTCTTTTAACATAGATTTTCTGACTTGAAGAAGATGATGTGGTAAATTAATTTTCACACTGGTATATTCCAATAAGCAATCTTCACTGAGCTTCTTATGTTTTAAAACTATCTGCAAAAAGCATTGCCATTCAAAAAATCTTAATATATTAAAAAATTTTAAGCTTATGGTATGTAAATAGGGCAATTAATAGATTACATACTTCTGAATTGGTTTTAGACAAGCCTGATAGCATGCCCAATAATCCTGGCATTTCTGAAGGCTGAGGAAAGAGAATGGCAAGTTCAGGCTTTTCTAGATGACAGAGAGTTCAAGACCATCCTGGTCAAATTAGTAAGACTCTGTCTCAAATTTAAAAAAAAAAGAGGAGCACAGAATACAGATGAGGACAATTGCTTAACATAGGTGAGGCCCAAGGCTCAATACCATTCAAAATAGGAGCCTTGAGTGAGTTGGGTTTGCCCTCATAGAGTTGTTTCGAAAGGAAATGAAATAGTACTAAAGATCACTAAAGAACTTAAGATCACCAATCAATTAAATTCAATCAACTGATTTTGAACTAAAGGTATAGAAATAGTTTGTGTGATCTGATTTTATAAAATATTGAGACCACTGCAAATTTTAGAACTCACAGTAGCGTTCTGTTAGCCGTCCCAAAGCAAGCAACTGAGATGGGTGACTGAGTTTTACTTACTGTTCATAAACAATAGATAACATTTTCTCATTTTCAAATCAGTGAATTTTCTAAAATTATCATCTTCTACCTATTACCTGCTTGCAAGTGAGAACAAACCCAGAACTCAAACATGTGGATTGAGAGGTTAGAACTTTTAATAACTTTGGATCAGGAATCAAGGGCTCATAGTTGTATGGGAGGTAGTCAAATGATGCAAGAACCAACTTAAAGATTCACTGCAAAGACAACTTTTCAGAAAGTGGATAAGTGAGTGGACATTCAACACAGCTGCGTAAACAGAGAAAAATGTAAGAATATACATGGCAGATGTGTGTGTGTGTGTGTGTGTGTGTGTGTGTGTGTGTTTGAAAGCTGTTTCTATAATCAAATAAGGAAAATCCCCTTTCTTCCTTGTCTTAGAGTCCTGGCAAGGCCCATCCTCCACATGAACCCTCAGATCAGTAAAGAAACTGCAGGTGTGAAAACCTTTTATCCCCCATTCCCACACACATGGCTAGCAGTTTAGCCATTATACAATTCTAGGTGGACAACAGTTTTCTGAAGTCTCCACTCCTCCCTCTTCCGTGATTGCCTCTGAGGGACTGTGGCTTCCTGTGGTCTCCACTGTGCGCTGTGGTGGTCTATTTTTTCATAGTGATGATAATTTTGGATCTGAAAGTTTATGTGTTTATTTTCTGAAAAGATCTTTTTTTTGATATCTTCTCAGTAATAATTGTGTTCTGTCTTTAACTTCCAATTACAAATTGGAACCCCAAACCAAGGCTTCTTTGTCTTGCTGCCGTGATTTGGTTTACCTTCATGGAAATTTCCTTAACTACAGTTCTACCATAATGATGAATTTTAAATTTCAGATCTCATATTTTTATTTCTAAGAATTATGTAATAATGTAATATATCATTTAAAATATGCTGCCCCAATTTAGCTTTAAGAATGCAGTATGGTATTTTATTCTAGAGAAATTTTTATATTTTCCCATAGTTTTAACGCTATTACCTGCATTTTATAGACTTCACTTGGTTTTTGTTGCTGTTCTGTTTGTTTTATTCTTGCTTCAAGTTTGAATTTATCATTCTGATTAAGTGGTTCCATTAAGTGCCTGCTATTTGTCACATGTTTTTATTGACATGTGGGGCACTTTTAAAAAGTTCTAGCGTAGGTACCACCTATATATAGTCTCTATGTTTATGAATTCTAGGCTTTTTTTTACTGTAGCTGGGCATTGCCTGTACCAGTTCTATGATTTTTTTTTTCTTCCGGAATTTACTTAGTTTCACTGAGATGTTGGCCTGCTGTCTCCTGAGGTTATATTTAATCTCAGTAGCGAGTAGGTGAAGGACTCACCATGGTCTCTATGCTTTTAGACTTAACACTACTGGTTCCCAACTGAAAAGTTCTTCTGTTACCCCAGGTTCTGAGGTCCTTTCCTGTTTTGGCTCTTGGTTCTTTCCTTGATGCATCATGAAATTCTGGGATGCCATGATATCAAACACCTGTGTATAGACTAGTTAGCATCCATTTCACTTATTTCCTTACCGCTAACAGAAATATCAAACGGCAAGCAGAAGAAGGCAAACATTTCTTTAGGTACATATTTGTTTTTAGACTACCAAATACTAAGATTTTTTTGTTAGTATTCTTCAGAGAAATATATGCACGTATATATACATATCCATATATATAGTCGGTCAACATATGTAGTATTATTTATTTATTTAAAGGAATTGACTTTTGCACATGTGGCGTGGATAGTAAGTTCTTATCTTGTAGGGTGGAATCTCAGGTGTGAGTTAATGCTATAACTTGAGGCAGAATTCTTATTTCCAGGAAACCTTTTGCCTAAGAGTTACTTGCATAGACATGGCATCTTCACAGCCAACCTTAGGTTAGTGCTTAATGAAGCAGGAATTTTAGCCTAATCCTGTTTACATGTAAAAATAGTCATCATGTGGCTGCATAGAGAAACCCTGTCTTAAAAACAAACAAACAAACAAAAAACACAAATCAATGGAAAAATATAGTGAACTATATCATCTAGTATAAAATACTTTTATGACACATTTTCTTTTGATTTGATAAAAAAAGAACAAAGCTTGAAAAGTAAAATGGTGTAAATAAAAATATCAAGCACACATATCTTCATTTTTAAATGACTCGATTTCTCAATGAGGGTCATGGGATATTTTCTTCAAATATCAATTTTGGAACACTCCTATAATATTATTTCTTTGATGTTTAAAAATATGAACATGTATTACATGAGCATAGTGGTGGCCACTGTTTTTTAAAATGTGCATTGGTGTTCTGCCTGCAGGAGGGTGTTGGGTACCGCGGAACTGGAGCCACAGACTGCTACGAGCTTCCGTGTGGGTGCCCACTTTTAATCTGAATTTTGGGGAGGCATAGGGAGACAGATCTCTGTGAGTCTGAAGTCAAGATGGTCTACACAATGAGTTCCAGGATAGCCAGAGTTACATAGTGAGACCCTGTTTCAAAAAACCCAAATATAAACAAACAAATAAGTAAAATAAATTTTAAAAACCTTAAAAATTAAGTACATAAAACATGAACATGAAAAGTTAGAGGTGACTATCTAGAAAATCCCAGAGTATAACCTTTGTTCACTTGAAATAAATTTGAATAATTTTTTTAAAAAAAATCACAAAATAAGTACCAAGAAAATTTAGGTTAAAATGGTTGAACTAGAACCCAAATTTTAATGTAAGAGTCTGAAATAACTCAGAACTGAGAAATCACCAGTCAGACTCATAACTGAGGTGGAATAAAGAGTATTATTCATTCCAAGAATGTAACAAAACTATTCACTGGCTGATATATGGGGAGGGAATTTATAGAACTGCTGTCATGATAAAGCAAACATGTAGCCTTAAAAGGCAACTGACAAAGAAATTAAGCTTACGAAGTGAAACCTCCCAATGGGTAAGTAACCAACCTTCCTATCAAATAACAATACGGGAGAAATATAAGTGGGAGGAAACCAACCATGGCTGGGACTTATGAGAAGAACTTGCTTTGCGTAGCATTCCCCGCTTTCATGTTCTCAGTAAGACCATCCAAACAAATGTTCAGTTTTCTACAAGTGAAAATTATGTATCCAAGGAAACATGAATTGCCCAACACCAACCAAGATTAAATGTAATTGTTTGTTTTCTCTTGAAAGACACTTTTGAGTGAGGTTCTCAAAACTCAGACTGAGATAACAGGGCCTCTCTGGTGGGCCATGCATAAAGGCCTCTAAATAACATTGGCCTTTGCCTGAAAAAAAAAAAAAAAAACAAGGAGGGGTGTGTGTGAAATAACTCAGGTGCACAGAGAGGAACAAATCTTGGTTTCTTGGAGAAAATGGAATCAAATTGTTTTTCATAACAGCTCCCTTCAGATAACCTGATAACATACCCGGCCAGAATAATTCATATTTACCCAGAAGGAAAATTTGGAAAGTCTAAACTACAATTGTCAAGTACATATTGCTTCTCCTTCAGTCTAGTTTCAAACTAGAAAATTTGCAACAAATACCTCCAGGAATGCCTCTCATGCCGAGTTACTGCTGCCTTATCTGTCTATCATTTTGAAGTCAAAGACAGCGCTTCAGCAAGTGACATTCTTTCTCTATCCTCTTTATCAGGGAAGAAGATTGTACTTTTCCTATTGTAAAATAACAAATGCTTGTTAAAAGAACTCATAACACACACACTCATACACACACACACACACACACACATACACACACACGCAAGTGCATACACATGTAAACACCCAGAACTATATTTTACAAAATGTAATCGGGTAATCAAAGTGATTTATAAATTTATTTAAAATGTGATTTTTCTACTTCTACTATGGATATTTTAAATAAAAGCATATGCTGTTTTCTGAGAAAAATGAAAGAACAGGAGA